TTTCAGTCATGAATGAAACAACAAATGCATATTAATAAGTATATTGTAACTGAATTGTTAATTTGATAATGTTATGTTAAATTGTTTGAATTTTAATCTCTTTTTCGGGAAAATGGAAAATGGTTAACATTTCAATAAAATATCAGAGCTTATAGGAGTTATAGAAGGTTAGTTTAACAATTGTAAGAACTAAATTAAACATACAAATTATTTACATTATTATTGTAATGATATTATCAATGCACGAATGGATAAATATATTTTTGCTGAAAATATATGTAAATTATTAATAAATATCATGTTCATAAACAAGTCAATTCTATTTGGGCATTTAATAGAATATAATGAATTTAAAAAATGCTTAAAATATTTTATAGCTTTTTTGTGAGGCAATGTCCGCTCAAAGTTTAAGCTGCTTTTCTTAAGTGTAACTTTGTAACTTTCGACAGTAACTAACGTCAAGACGATTAAAACTGCGACAATTTATTTATTTATTAATTTAAGTTTTAAAATTTGTTCTATACAAGTACTTTATGTAAACTAGTCGTAATAAAATTTTTAACAGATGCGGCATTCTATTCTTAAAACAAGGAAAATTATTTAGAAAACATTTGACCCATATAGAGAAGTAAATTTGCCGTGAAATGTAGGTAACGTGTAACAGATGTAGCTGTCACGGGAGGAATTGTCATCACGAATACAGTAATCTGAAAATGGAAGCATGCATAACCAAATTGGAAATGATTTGGTGTATTGACAGACAGATTGACACATCTGTTTTTTAAACTCAATAATGCAAATTATATATGTATAAATTTTAAAATAAATATTTTGTGTTTTATAAGGTATAATAAAATTTCTTTGGGTAAATTAAGGGATGTAATTTTGTCTGCCTACCACAGAAAATGTTTAGTATTTCAAAAACTCTTAAACTCTTTTCAAAATAGCATATAAATCAATTTGTTTATATTTGAAATGTTTTTCAATTTCATCAATAAATTATTAGTATGTAATCAATACAATTAATTAATAATATATTTCAACTTGGTTAATATTTTATACGTCTACATAAAATAGATTATTGCTAAAAAACAGGATTTTAAACATGCCGAAACGTAAAGTGCATTTTCCTGCATTTTTAAAGATAACCTAGAATATTTTAGGAGGAGCATAACGATGAAAAATTTACAAAAATATACTTTATAAAACCTAAAGTACCAAGGTATATGTTGGTATATAAATCTCGATTAGTTTAAAAATTCACCTACGTATTAAATCTTTATAAATGCACGTAAGGTCATATTTCATCATTCATTTTAGAACCCTATTTCTACATAAAATATTTTTCTATAAAAATAAAACAATATCCTTTATTTTATTTTATTGTGGAAATTAGTTTATAAAAAGGGCTGCAAAATTATGGTAATCACACAGAAAGTTGTTTAGTTTTGGTTGAGAGAAACTCGCGTACAAGGATGCGGGACACGAGCGCATAACATAACTGTATGGCAATCGGGGGATGAAGTCTAGCGCAATGTCCCAAGTTTGAAATTGAGTTTGTGAGTTAACGCTACGCCACAAACTAGCGTGTATGCACGATAAATGGACTTTGGCCAAACTTGGGTTAACTTAATATACTCAATTGAATATTTGCTTGATAATTATTTACATTGAAAGAAAATCCCTTTCATATCAATCAGCTGCTTTCAAAAAAAAGAACAGTATGTGACAAATTTTACGATATTTTTAAACTTGCTATAAAATTTAAATTTTTATTTTGGGAAACGGAACATAAAGGATCTAAGAAATCTAAGAAATCTAATCTAAGAAAGTAATTAGGTGGCAGCCTTTTATTAAAATATAAGTCGCGGGCAAAAGCTTTTTTTATGTACAGGTACTTATTTATATCAAAAGACACTTTAAACAAAGTAATATCGATTATTTATGTTTAACACAAAAAAACTGGTGTATGTTATATAAAAATTTACCCAATGCCCAAATATATAATCGGCTAATTTTTCACATTTCTAATATACGGTTATGTTTAAATTTCAGTACAATGTACCTTTACACATTAATACATCTATCAGTTTATGTACAATATTGTTGATTACATATACGTAAAAATTAAAATCAAGTAAAAACTTATTTTGTGACTTTTAAAGATTACGAGTATGTGATAAGTTACGTTAGAAGTAGAAGTTAAGAATGGCCATTTAAACGTTGTCTTGCTGCTTGTAGTTACTTCATAATCCTCGCATTCGTCCGTTGACTGCCATTACTAATCCTCCGCTCGTGTCCGCGTGTCACATTTCCGGACGTCCTGAATTTTTCCGCGCTCGTTTCTGTCGCCCCGGTGCGCTTTGAAAAATTCATGGCACGAGCGCCCGCATCACGTGTGCCTTTGCATCCTTATACATGTTTCCTTTTGTGCATAATTTACGCAAGCACTCCAAATCTGTTTGCGCAACTCTTTGAACTTTCTTCGTCTGCAAACTTTCTTTGCTTATTCCTTTTGAGCACTTGACTACTCACAAACGTTCAAAATAAACACTTATGAAATGACATAAATTGCAATAAATAAAATTTTAGCATTTACATAATTTTCATATAACAATATTTTAAAATTTGGTACTAATAAAGATCATGTCATGTTACTTTTGAAATTAAATATCATCTGACACATTTATAGCACATAAACCATATTTCAATAGCTTCATGTTCACCCCTTATCGGGATTTAAAGTTGATGCGTCTTTTAATTTCATACAAAGATCCAAGTATCGCACAAATTTATTGTCACAAATAATTTCAAAGACGTTTGTGTCATAATGGGTCCTTTGCTAAAGTGAGGATTCAAAGTGGAGAGTTTGGTGGTTATTATGTGCAACTTTCCCACCTGGCACACAACAGCGAACAGTAGCCGACGAGCGAGTGTATCGAGAGTCAAAGTTGAATCCACCTCGCGCTTTGTGCGACGCGCGAGGCTATCGATTTCTCGGCGTGAGCGCACGAGGGCGCTGCGGCTGCGGGGTGCGAGCCGTCCGCCTCCGCGGCCGCCAGTCGAGGACTACCCTTCTTACTTACCGCTCGCGTGTTGGGAGCGTTCTTTGTTCAAACCACGCTTGAACCGCGATCTTCTCAAAATCGTGTTGTGATCATTATTTAGAGTTCTTTGTGAAATAAAATGAATTTTTGATTAGTTAAGTGAGTTTACTCAATAAGAGGTTGAGGGTATTGCCATGTGAAATAGGAACGGCAAGAGGAATAAACCTAGGTGTGCTCACCTTTGTTCCACAGTGAGTATTCCAAGTGATGCTGTTGCACAGATTGCATCTTTCCTTCATTTAATAATGTATATCAAACGAAACAAATGTTAAAATTTATTCTACCTGTTTGATTCATAACTGGTACTTAAAAAATAACTAATAATACTTTATGTTTTTTTCAAATTAGTACTTGTTACATCGCATCATCAAAACGCTTTCAAACAAATTGATAAACGCGATGATTGATTGAATAATATTTGACTCGCTGTTATAACGACCTGCCTTATTCGAAAAGTATTCCGTACATTTTCGTGTCCACGTTTCTCTTCTCCGCAGCGAATTTATCATTTCTTTTCATGCCACATCGCGCAGTTTTTTGTCGAAATGTTTTCCTGACAAATGTGGCGCCCATTCGCGATGGCATCAATGGGGTGGAAGCAAAGTCCAACGAGCACACTTCATGGTTATTAAATAAAACGTCATTTGCGACTTGAATTATTGCTTGTATTTTCCGCGCTCGGCGCTAAAACAAATTCGATTTTTGGCGAAAAAAAAAGGAAATAAATTTTCTTCGTTTTTTGTACGTTACGGTTCAGTTTGTTGGTGGTGTAGGCGCCGAAATTGTGGGCAATTAAAGCGGCATTAGCCGATACCTAATGGCAATTCAATCAATGTCGACGCACGGCGGACGCGGACGTTTCGTTCGGAGCGCAATTACCAATCGCACGTGCCGAACGAAAAAATGATCGGAAAATTAACGAAGCGCTAATCACGTTCGAATGTCCAATTTTTTTTTTCAACATGCACACGTCCTGTTGTGATGTACAATTTTCATCAAATTATTTCATACTGATAAATAGAAACAAAAAAAATTGCATTTTTTATTGTTTTTTGTTTGCAGTCTGTCATGCTTCATTAGTGAGTTAAAAAGAATTTGTGTTTGATTTGTGTCGAATTCGTTAAAATTCAATTTTTTTACTCAAAATACAATCTCTCTATATTTGAGAATTACACTAAAAACAAATAATGAAAAATACTTGTAGGTTTATAATAATTTATTTGTATCCCAAAACTCAATTAGTTAATTTTTTTGATGTTATTTTTTTTTATTTCGCTAGTTTCTATCTTTCTAGCGTATATCTAAATAAAAATCTTACATATGTATAAGAACTATAAAGAGCTACAACGGTAGGGATTCCAGAGTATAATTCGGTAAATGTGGAGCAGCCGAGATTGTCGCCCAGCGAAAGAAAGTCGCAGCAAGTACCGAACCGCAGCGAGGGGTGAACTCGTTCGGAAGAATGACTTTGTCGAACGCACGCCGCGAAAGTTTCGCGTCGCGCCATTTACCCGAGTTCATAAATATCGCCCGACGGCCGCCGCTTTTTCATTTGACAGACAATCTCTCAGCTCGCTCGCCCACCGCCTCTACCGCGTGAAATATCACGTGCATTTATATGTATAACGTGGCGAACGCAAACGTAGACGAGCAAAAAAACACACCAGACATGAAAAAGCAACTCGTTCAGGACAACTTGTACTCGTAGAAGAGTCTGCTACATTAAGCACCACAAATGTATCAAAATGTATCATCATCTTGATGTACTCGGAATTTACTTTCTTAAGAAAACATATTTTTGTATCTTCCCATTTCACATATACCACTTTAAAATAGGACAACTGGAAATTCTAATATGTTTTTAATGTTTCAATAATTTTTTTATTGTTTCAGTTGAGAGATGAAGTTTGGGCTAACAGAGGTGGTGTTTTGATGAGGCCGCAGGAAAAATCGCTGCGATGGCCGCTGTATGTGGCGGCTGGTGCCGCTTCTGCAGCGTGCTACGTCAACGCATTAACCGGCGAGTTTGTCCACGACGACATCCCCGCTGTAGTGCTCAACAAGGATGTCCTAGGTGCCACCCCAATTGTAGATGTTTTTGTAAACGACTTTTGGGGCACCCTATGGCGGACCTCAACAGTCACAAATCATATCGACCGTTGACTATCCTCACATTTAGGTAAAACTTTGATTGAATGATGAATTGCCACATGTTCTGCTTTAGTTGTTTGGTTGGTTTTGTTGATTGTTAGTTGTGTAAAATATTCACGAGGTTTTCACTCGTCGCGAGAAAAGTTGGAAAACGTCGGAAGCGCTTTTAAAACTTTTCGATGCATCAGCACGCCGCCAATTTCATCCAGAGCATAAATATTGAAATGTAGTAAAGTTGGGGAGCGCCCGAGTGCGAATGTGGTTTCCCTACTCGCACCCCACCGAAACTTTCGCTCCGATTGACTTGCTCTCTCATCCGAATAGCCCGACAACTTAATAATTAAACTTGCTCCAACTCGCTTGTCCTACAAGACTCGCATTTATATTCGAAATTATTCTAACTTTTTAACCATTTTACTCTTCATTCTGCTCGTATTTTGCCTGTTTTATTTTCGCCGATTCTTTGTTTAACTAAGCGAGCTTAATGCGCGTAACGCGGGTAATTTAATAAGGTAATTTCAAACTATCCGCAGTAACCCGCTCCCGACTCCTTTTTGCTGGGGCGCAGTTCAAAGAGCTTACGCTGAGGTGGTGTCTTCACTTCCTTTGCGGTTTTCCCCAATTCGTTATGTTATACAAAACAGTGTCGCACAACTGCGACATCGTGATAATTAGACACCAAAGTAATTTTACCCCTTCGTTCTCAAGCGTCGAATTAATATGCAGCGAGCATCTCGTTTTATCGAATTATCAATTAGAGATTATGCTCATTGTACTAAGGTAGAAATTTAATTTAACCTTAATTAATGTCGGCCTTAAATTAGAATAAATTTGATTTAACTGCCGCTATTATTTTTGTTTTGAACTTATCTAAACATATTTCATTTCACATTTAAGTCAAGTTTTAAAGTGTGTAGCACACGTGAAACTATTTGCGCAATAATTGTTTTACATGTTTGCGGTGAACATCACGACTGTTCAAACACAGATAAGTTTGCCGGAGGGGTAGTCAAGGGTTTTCACCCTCGACGGGCACGAGAGTGCAAGAAGCGCCTCGTGTGCACCCGTTGCTTAATCAGAACTGTAAACAATCGAGCAAAAGCGGCTCGCGCTGAAACAGAACAAAACCAAACGTAACCCATTTTCTCATCCCTTGTGGTAACCAACTTAGTGGATGGCAACGTGTGGAATATTAAACGATGGAAGGTGTAGTGCATAACTTTAAAATCATGTAACATACTTACACCAATGGTTTTTTCTGTTCTTTAAAACAGAAATAATGTTTGATTTAGTTGTGTCAACTTGAATGTCTTATATAATATTACAAATAATTTTCAGAGCAAATTTTCTGGTTTTGGTCTCAATCCGATCTGGTTTCACATAACCAATATTCTACTACACTGCATTGCAACAATGCTATTCCTGCGGCTGTGCCTGAATGTGGCAAAACTACGAGGGCCTTTTGCCTCCTTTGCAGCATTAATGTTTGCCGTACACCCTATACACTCAGAAGCGGTGAGTGTCCCCAAAAAGCAATCTAACTTCTTTCTTAGGCTTAACGTACTTGATAATAAAATTTTGTTTACCCAGGTAACAGGAATAGTCGGACGAGCTGACGTTCTTGCGTGCGTCTTCTTCCTAATCTCGATCTTGGCTTATCACGAGTACGTAGATCCACACAAAGCCAGCAGACTCAATTTAAATTTCTGTGTAAATTTTTTTCCAACCATGCAGAGCAGAAAGTAAACGCCTGTGGCTGAGCATCCTCGCAGGCGGTTTAAGCATATTAGCCAAAGAGACGGGCATCACCGTCCTGCTGGTGAATCTTATCTTTGACATGTACAGGACTTGGCTTGACATCAAAAGGTATTTTTTGTGTTTTTTATGCTACTTTATTTTATAAATTTTAACGTGTTGCAGTACACTGAGGACTTTTCGTCTTTCCGAGGCGACGCAACAATTTGCAAAGAGATGCGCCAAAATGTTAACGTCGGTATGTCTAGCTGGGTGTTAGTGTGTGGATATAAAATTCGAATATTTAAGATTTATGCCCGGCGATAAAAGCTACAATGTAACGTTTTTTTTCGTTTTCTCTGCACGCTCGTACGTTTGCTGGCTCTCGACGAAAAGTTCGTAATCCTGGTGGCGATTAGATTAGCGCTTCTGCAAGGATCGTTGCCGCGCTTCTCGCAGCAGGATAATCCAGCGGCTTTTCATCCGTCACTCTTCGTCAGGTCTGTACACACCAAAAATACGCTCATCTAGAATTTAACGTTTTCACAGAAATTATTTTCTAGACATTTGTTTTTAACGCTTGAAAAAATTCATTGTTTTTGTTTAGACTGCTGACTTATTCTTACTTGGCCGCTCTCAACTGGTGGTTGCTCTTGTGTCCCGGCAATTTGTCGCACGACTGGCAAATGGGCTCCATTCCATTGATCACGACCATTGCGGATTTGAGAAATTTGGTCACCGTTTTGTTTTTTGGACTTGCGTTTGCGTTGACTTGCAAATGCGCACTAGAATTTAAGGTATTTTAATTAATTATTTTTGCTCAAATATATTGAGTTGTTGTTTACTGGGTTACAGAAACAAGGCAATACCACGGTAGTTCTAGGGCTGATCCTTCTTGTTCTGCCGTTCTTACCCGCCACTAATTTGGTTGTTACTGTTGGGTTTGTCATCGCCGAGCGTGTACTTTACATACCAAGGTAATTAAATTAGCTTAAGTTGAATTAAGGTTTTAAGCTAATTTTAGGCATCCTTGGCATCTAGAAATACTTAACAGAAGTATACATATATAATGTACAATTATGAAATTAATTTAGTAAATCGTATTCAATCTTAGCATGGGTTATATCCTGTTGGTCGTAAATGGCGTGCAGACAATTTGGATGAAGTATGCTCGGCATCGACAATCGGTGTTATCCTTACTGATCCTGATTCTAATGGCGCAGAGTTTGCGTTGCCTCATTCGTAATCGCGACTGGCGCTCTAGGAGTCGTTGCTGAAGGCTGGAATTCTTACCTTACCGCACAACGCAAAAATGCATTATAATTATGGAAATTTCCTCCGCGACTCATCACAACTAGAGTTGGCTAAAGTTCATTATAATACTGCAATCAGGTATGTCTTTATTTCTCATTTAAAAAATTAATAGTACTTTAGTTAGTATACCAAATATAACTAGGTATTACTTAACAGCCGTTTCTGTTGCGTATTATTTGCTTTTAAGTAACCTAATACAAACTCTATAATTTAATAAATAATAATATTTAGATTATGGCCTACATATGCCAGCGCTCATAATAATCTTGGAACACTGCTCTCAAATCGAAGAGCAGCTGAAGAACATTTTTGGCAGCAATACGCTTTTCTAAGGATCATCTCAACGCTCACTATAATCTTGGACAATTATATAGGTACAAGGCAAATTGAGCAAGATTTTTCCAATAAAATTTCTCGTTTTATTTTAATTCATTTGTATCCATAGAAAATTGAATCGTACCGAAGAATCGGAACAGATGCTGCATCGTTGCACGAAAATCGCCTCGAATTTTGTGCCTGCTTATATGGAGATGGCACGACTGAAGGGCACTAATGATCGGGGCGTCGGGACGCTACTGAAAAGGGTCGTCGAACTGCACCCGAGCGACGTACATTACATTGCACTGTATGCACAATGGCTCAACAAGAACGGTAATTTTTGCACCCACCCCTTGTACCCCACGAATGCGTCTCGCCGCTTGACACAGATGTTGGGGCGGTTATTATCCCCAGTCAGGACGCGCGCGGGCTAATCTTTTCTACTTCACGCTGATATCAAATGATTGCAGGAAACGCGGGTCTTGCGATGAAATACTACGCGTCGGCATTGTCCGATCATCCGTTGAACTCTGAATCGATGATGGGTGCAACGCGAATTCTTCGGAAGCGTGGAGCGCATTCACGTTTGTTTCAATTAATTACTAGGTAAGAAGTAGTTCAAATTAAATCAAACTTATTTAGTGCAACGTAGTATTTTTATAATTTGTATCTGTAGATATCAGTACATCTACAGCTCACATATGGGTAGAAAAACGAGTCATCCGCATATATATTTGCATGGATGGCATTTAAAGTATGAAATGCAAAACCATTCAAAAGGATACAACCTCAAGATGGCGGATAATAATATGGCTGCTTCAAATATGGCTGTTAATCGATATGTAAGTAAATCTACTTGTGGAATACATTCAACATTTATTTACTTTTATTGATCACAGACGACCGACAGCATAAAAATATCGTGACCGCCTCACGATGTTCATTGATGTAACCTGACAGGAATCGAAAGCAATTTGGGTGCTGCTCAATATGTTACGTTTTTAATTAATTAAAATAGTCCTAAGACCGTAGTAACTAAATTAATTAAACTATTCATAAACTATTCTTAACAACAGTTAACATATTGTTGAATTTGATCTTAATATTAAGCTTTTTTATAAATATCAAAATTATTATATTTATTCTTTTCTTTTTACGGACCAAGGACCGGATAACAGTGTTATAACAATAATCAATACTTTGAAGATGGGTTGAAGTGCAAGTAAGCCTAGAAATTTAATATGATTGAACCATCTACTTAAATTAATATTTATTTTAATATTTATATAGATATACAGGGTGGATACAAAAGTTTATTACTCAACAATCATGTTTGCCATTTGTACACAATATAAGTACCGACATCGACACAAAAAGATAACATTTTAATTTCAATATGCATACAAATTGAAACGATATGATGAATTGAATGAATTCCGATTACAGTATTAGATATAACACGTAAGATACGTGTACAAAAATGGTAGCATGGCATACGGTTGTATAAAATTGTATATATATTTTTATATCAATTATGCGTATGAATTTAAACTGTATAATGATGAAAATAAATCCAATATTATTTACTACTTGACGAGGTTTGGTGGTGCTATAATTATAAAATATAAGGTTCCTTACATTATATTTTAACAGCGCTGAACGTTATGCTTCTAGGCTAAAATTCAATTCATGTCAAAATTGATGGGCAATTTTCGATCAGCGTACGCGTTTTTGTAAATCATCAGAATTTTTCACTCCGAGATTGCGTTCGTCTCGCCTCGAAGGGCAATTTCGAGCATCGCCCTTCCGTTTGATTGACGTGCCATTGCTGAAATTAGCTTTCGATATGTCGTCGTTCAACAGATGCAGGAAACGATAAAAAAACGACTTTAAATGTAAAGTCAAAATTTTAAATGAAAATGAAATTTAAAGTGAAAACTTGTTTATGCAAGCTAGATGGAATGTAATTTAAAAATATTACTATAACTTGCAAATTGATATCATTGTTAGAAAAACCAAGTTCAATGGTTTGTGAAAAGTCTATCCTACTAGGTGGGGTTAATCCACTGATATGTATATTCCCTTGTATTGAGTATATATTATGTCTAATTCCCTCTTTGAAAATGGGGACCATGAAGTATATATATATATATATAAGAAGTTCGAACGGTATAGGCTTTTCCGTAGTAGTCATGGTACACGAAGTATAGATACAGAGGAGACCGAACGTAATGTAAATAAATAGTATCGAACAGAACATTCGCCGGTAGAGGGCGCCACTATTCGAATAGTACTCGTTTAAATTCTTACTTTGCTAAGGACACCGCCGGAAAAATCCATGAAACATTAAATAAATAATCACAAAGTATAGAAACACAGGAACGTCATGTTAAACGAATTGTCTCAATGCTGGTATGGACACAAACCAGTGTACATCGATACGTTCTCACACTACGCGCAGCCAGTGGAAGAAATGAGAACTATGATTTGTGTAGTAAGCGAAGTAAAATAAACATTTTCTGTACGCTATACCCTCATAATATCGTTATGAAAACGATACTTTATTAAAACCATTGCAAATCAATGCAAGTGTTTGTCTAATCTGATGTGGATAGCTATTTCGACCATTAGCGGTCTCGTCAGTACACCCGTTTTCATAACGATATTGAGAGGGCATAGCGTACCGTAAGTGTTTACTTTACTACGCTTATTATTAATACTCACCCTTTCGTAAAACTATTGTTTTTCAATATGATTTGTGTTTATAATTGTGTACCATTACTACCATGGAAAAGACTGTACCCTTCAGATTCCTGTGAATCTATACTTCGTGGCAACAACGATAGGATAAACTCGTGGAAATATTTTTTGTTGAAACAGACATTCTAGCAACATCTCGGATATATTTTAAGAGTACGTTTGCTTATGTTATTAAATCGCATAATGGATTAGTAGGCGTACAAAGAATTGAATGGCGGAGCAACCGTGAACCCACCTGTAATCGCTCGCAAGGACACGGATTTCAATGAACTACATTATTAAATTGAACACAAGATATTAAACATACATCTATATATATAAAAGAAAGTCGTGTTGGTTAACTCCTTTATAACTAAAGAAAGGCTAATCCAATTTAACTAAAAATTGGTGGAGAGGTAGCTTAGGGCCAGGAGGGGTAATAGGATACTTTTGAAGTGAAAACTTTTCTAAAAGGCACTAAACGACACTAAAAGAGACAAACATATTTGCGTATATGGATTATCTTGCGGGAGAATAAGAGAACGCAAATACAAAGTTTTCTATTATCCCCGTCTCCCTTTGTGCGATGCTTCGTAGCATAGACGTGTGTATGTGTGTATGTGTGGGTTGAAATTGACCGGTTGATGTTTTTGTTTGGAGAAGGTTACTAGGATACTTTTGAAGTGAAAACTTTTTGGAAGATACTAAACGAGTTTTCTCCGTCTCTTCTTTGTGCGATGCTTCGTAGCTTCCCATGCAGCGACCAAAACGATCAAATCTTATCCGACAAAACCGTAATGCAACTGGGATTCAAAGGATTGCGAATGAAAGGACTGAAGAAGAACAAGAAATTGCACGTGAAAAGCGAGGCAGAAAAAGTTTGCCGGGTCAGCTAGTAATACATATCGCAGTGAACTCAACAGTTGTGGCGTTGTCAGGTTTGATGTTGATAAGATAACGAAGAAATCGCTGATGTTTTCAACTGACTCATTCAATCTTAAAGTGCATAGTGCAGCATCAGTTAAGTAACATTCTCCGGAGACTTGGATTTTGCCTTCCTGTTTCATTTTTGCTCAGTGTTTTTATTTACTTTTTGTGATTTTTTAGTACTGGTTCTACCAGGTTTTGTATTATTTTTCTCGTTTTTATCATTATTTTCTATTTTGTTTTGTTTTGAATTATCAAAGGTGTAATTATTAACATCATTTTCGGCTGGTTCCACATTATATTCTTCTGGTAGTGGTGAAGGAGCAGGAGGGACATATTGTTTACAATTAATTGTTTCGCCTTTTTCTAACTTTTTTATAATTTTCTGGAATCGAGAATGTAATAAACTAACATCTACAAAATAAATTAGTATTAAAATTAACATAATACGTTTTTCATCTTGAAATTAATTACCAAGAGGTTTCGTAATTGAATATATTGGTTTCATACTAAATCGCACGTATTTTTTGAAATAAGTGGTAACATTGACCGCCTGACTATTTGTTCTTTCGAATAGGGATCATTTTCAAATGCTTCCACATAGCATTCGTTAGTAATATCTTCTTTTTAATATAAAATATTTTTGTTTTTTCATTCTTTGCGCTGAAATATTAAAGTTTATTATAGAAAACTATTTGACTGTGTGCAATTTACTCATTGCTCATTTTCTTCGTGTTTTGTGAGATAACAATTTCTACCACAAAGTTTTTTAACTTCAACAAAGTTTCTGCTTCCAATGGCTCCATAATTTTATATTGCAACATAATTGGAATCCAAATCGTATTCTCACGAATCATATTTTTATAAATGAGGTTTTTAGATTCAAAATAAATCTAAAGTCATTAAGAATAAAATTTTTATAAACATTTTTGGACAGCTAATACATACTTTTGAAATCACGTCCCAATGAAGCACATCGATGTGAACTGATTCCATATCAGGAAACAACTTGTACTCAATGTGAAAAAACCTGTGGGATTTCCCACTTCAATGGCATATTCAGGCAAAGGTGGTTCTTCGGTATCTGATTTTGTATCATTTGACCTTTTCAAAGTTTTTTGGATGTTTGCTTTACGGTTTTGATTCGCTTGATTTTTCACTGCTTTTGGCTGTCTTCTTTTTGTTTCTTTTATTGAAGTGGTTCTGGTAATTTCTGGTGGTGAACGTGGCAAACCCAAGAGAAAACCTAAATCAATAATAGTCATGTCTTTTTATAATTGCAAATCAAAATAAAATGTTACTTTTTATTAGTGTCATTAACGTAGATATGCTAGGCAACACACAAGGTTTTGTTTAAAATTTTTGACAGCGCGTTTTGAAGCGACACTAGCGACCTCTGCAAAATGTATATTTGAGTTTGCATTACTAAGAAATAACAAGTCCTTGAAAGATACTATGTGCATTAGCTGTCGAATTTTGTTTGTTCGTCGCAGTATATTTGTCAGTGTTATCAATTAATATTCTAATAACATCAACGAATAATAATAAGTTGATAATTACGTCACCAGCAAAAGTTAGGTTACTAACAGTATCGCCAGAGCGGCACAATTTACAACTACAGATTTCTAAAGATGACGCGCAGGTGCTAAACAATTTTCGTTACATTTTGCATATCGACACACGATTTGCAGAGCATCTAAGTAGCAGAGAGGTTGTGCCGATTTCATTCGCAACTTTAAATGTACTTCTCCCCACTACACGAGTAAGTATAGGTAGCTATTATTATTTTAAAATTTTCAATCTTCATTGATACATTAACATTGTGAAATGTTGTTCAGTTTATTTTTCAATCAATTGTTTGTAAACAAACAAACAAGCAATCGAAGTTGTCGAAAAGTAAACACTGCATCGCCATTCACGCCGTACGCACATTTGCAAAGTGCATCAGGGCGTCCTTTGATTTCAATCGCACGCCGCATGCAGAGGACTACTCTTCGTCCGAATCGCCAGTGGTGAGGCGCTTGATGCTGGCGAGTGCATGCTGCCTCTTCGATTCGGTATCGACGATGGCTTCGCATTTGGACAACGCCGAAGACGTCGATTTCATCACGAAAACAGCGAGTAAGTCCACTGCTTCCATTCAAAAGATCTCTCCAACGCATCCTACGACGCGCGAAGCTCGAATAAGCCGTCGCGTGCAGCGCGACTTTTCCCGGTTCAAATCAATAACTCATTACTTTTACTCGTGGCTGTACTCCGACTCTGACTCCGTGAACGCCATACGTTTAGGTTATGTCGCACGAAGGGAAGCCGAGTTGAAAATCATCATTTATTTGGCACGCAAATGTTGAATTTTTCTGTGATAAAGGCCCGAAAATGACCACACGTACGTCTTGCACATGACCACTCAGTTATCAGCCCACTGTCGTTGGTGTAATTTATCGCTATTGCACCTCATTCTTTATTTAATCAAATATTTTCTGTTGCATTTAAGACTGTGCTTTGTTGTGTATCAATTGACAATTCCTTTTTCCGCAGTTGAGCGTGATCCAAAAAGCGACGTGTGAAACCCGTGGAATCTTCGATCTTAGATTTTGATCTGGGTGAGAGTTCTGATGACTCAGATTTTAGAATTGAAGATCATCCTGATGTAGCGATGATGATTCAGTGGACAGTAATGCTAACAATGGTAAAATAGACACAACTTTAATAAATTTACCTGCTTAATAACATTTATAAAATTTTAGACAGTTCATCTGATGTTGATGATGATGATGCAGAGGATTCTGATGCTTCAAACTTTGGGAAAAGTTTGAATCTAACTGCAAACAGTAATGGATTTTCCATTGCAGATATTATTGAAAAGGCAGCCAGTCAAAATGTTGGAGTAAGAATTAAAACACACATTTTTATTGAATTTAATGTAATATTAAATTTTAGTTCAGTGAAAAGACGCTGATATTTTGATTTGTTGTGGCTGTTTGGGTGATCAGAGTGATGGAGTGAACGAAATTGCAGAGTGTGATAGTTGTGGAGTGACAGTACATGAAGCCTGCTATGGTATTTCGGATTCAAATAGTTTGGCGAGTACCGATTCGGAAGCCCCGACGACTCCTTGGTTTTGTGATGCTTGCAAAGCGGGCGTTACTAAACCAGTATGTGAATTATGTCCAAATTCAGGTGAGAGTAAAGTGTAATAAATCTTGTTAGTAGAAACAAAAACATTGCATTTGTTGCTATTCTAGGCGGTTTATTTAAAGAGACTGATGTAGGAAAATGGGTACATCTTGTATGTGCACTGTATGTACCAGGTGTGGCGTTTGGCGAAGTGGACAAATTGTCAAGCGTCACACTCTTTGAGATGCAATACAGCAAATGGGGTTCGAAGACGTGCTCTTTGTGCGTCGAAGACCGATTTGCGCGGACTGGCGTGTGTATCGGGTGTGATGCGGGCATGTGTCGTAATTATTTCCATGTCACATGGTAGGTGTTAGATTTTCGTTATTTTCTGATTGGTTTAATTGTAATCTTGACTGTCCAGTGCTCAACGAGAAGGTTTTCTATCTGAGGCTCACACCGAAGAGGTGGATCAAGCGGATCCTTTCTATGCGCACTGTAAACTTCACTCGGATAAAACTTTGGTGAAGAAACGAAAACGTAACTATCTCGCGATTCAGGTGCGTACTCATTTCCGTAAGCTGCAGTTTGAGGCGGCTGGTTTTACGGAGACGCCTGAACAAGTGCGGATTCAAAGAAAACTGCAGAAAAAGCGGATGCATTACAAGGCATTGAAGCTTACAAGGCAACAACCCTGGGGTAAGTTAAGTTCGCATTTTCATAGTTTCTTTATGAAAGACGTTTAATTGCTGTATAGTTCCAACTCAAAAATGCCCAGACTCTTAACCACAAGCGCCTCGGCGTGTAAAAACTGATTCGAAAAGCCGAACTTATGGGTATTGACACACCTTCATTAGAAATGCAAGAAGCGCAAATGGCTGCGCTAGTTGATATTCGTAAAAATGGCACATACCACCAGCGTTCTCTGTGGAGTTTGTTGCGTATTATTTAGATAGGAATGAGAGATTGAAAAGCATGAAAGATTCGCTGGAACACCTTCTCGATAATAATAAGGTACTGCTTGGTGAACAAACCGAGCTGCGAGCGAAATATGATCAGTTGCTGAAGGAAAGTACCGATGAACAACAAACAAATGCCAATTTAAAGCAGACAATCCACAAATTTCACTCGGCCATCTTGAGTTGTTGTTCCAACACACGCCTGCCGAATGTTGAAGATTTGGGAAAACCGCCGATGCCAAGGCCGGCGCCAACGCCTATGATGGTGCCTACTGCAGCAGCTTTAAAATGGGTGTTGGGTTTCCTTTGAATAACATTCCAGCAAACCGAAACGAGAGTGGAAAAGTGCTGAGTAGTCATGCGAAACAAGGTAGGCAACCATTTTACTATTATTTTATGCCAATTTACTAATAAAACATGACTTTTATGGAAAAATAGACCCAATCCAGTTAAACGAGTGTGGAATCTGTCGACAACGACGAGATCAGCACATGCTGGCGAAATGCGACACGTGTCATCTGTATTATCATCTCAACTGCCTGAATCCTCCGCTTACACGCCTACCGAAAAATCGAAACTCTACGGCTGGCAATGCTCTGAGTGTGACAAAACCTCTGACAGCGAGGTGGAGCAAGTAAAGCAACCTCGTCGAAGTCGCGGGCGACACAGTCGAGGCAGTCTCGATGAAGTATTCACGCCTATCGTTAAGATCAAACCAGTGACACCCGCCCCGCCATTGTTGGTAGTACCACCTTTAAGCACACCCATCTCATCGACACCTCCCTCACCTGCGCACGCCCAAGACCCAATTGCCGTTGAACCGCTAGCTCCTTTGCCGCTTCCCGAGCCCAGCGAGACGCCGGTGAGTCCTGTCACATTGACTGTGCGTAAATATCCTTCTCCTACAATCACACCCACTCTTACACCCCACATCACAATTCGTTTTCGCCAGGGATTGATACGAGCGCGGATATTACCAGCTCGTTCAACAACTCCACGCTGGACAGTACCACGTCCGAGGTTTATCCGCTTGTGATCTCGAAATCGTCGAAAAAGCGCCGCCGAGAAAAGCATCGCAATCGTTACTCGCCGGAGTTGGGCGGCTCCACGAAGGAGCACAAGCGGAAACGGAAGAAGAAGAGTTTGGATATTGAGAATCCCAATCCACATCCACGGATAACTATTAAGGTATTTTATTCTAACTCGAATGGTTGTATATAGTTTGTTAAATCTGTTTAAAATTAGATAAAACCGATCCCACTGCCCGCGGGCGAAGTGGCATCCACTTCAATCCGCAATGTTTTACGTGAACAACGAAAGTAACTACGTGCCGCCGATGCCGATGTCGTCGCTTCTCCCAGTGACACCGTCGGTAACGCCTGTGACTGTGACAACAACAGCAATTGCAGCAAGTAGTTGTGATGTGTGCAAAGAAGATGGATCAAATGCTAATATGGTCAAGTGAGTTCGCAATGCCGAAAATTGTATTTTATTTTCGTTTTAATATTTTGTTTTGTCCACAGATGCGACGAGTGTCAGAAGAACTATCATTTTGCTTGTCTAGAACCTCCATTGAAGAAAACACCAAAGAAACGCGGATACTCGTGGCATTGCGCGGATTGTGATCCGACTGTAAGTACAAACTGTTTTGGAATCTCAGTTAAAAATTTTCTTAGTTTTATTCATTCATGTAAAAATTATTTTCTTTCATTACAGGGTTCAGAATAATAATTATTTCGTAAGTTTTTACAGGCCATACTATTTAAGTTAGTGTACATGTACTAATTAGTGTTTACTACTTAACAGAGTAGCGTGAGTAACGGAGGAAAAACCTGTTCTGTATAGAATTCTAAACGTGCTTAGAATAAAAAACAGTTTATTTCTCGTATACGAACGTCGTGTAAACACGACCAGACAAATGTACAAAGAGGCCAAGGGGTTATCTTTGATGTCAACTCTCCTCAATCTACTCCTAATCACTTTTGTATAGTTAAACATGATATTGAGGTGGGATTAGCTCGAAATGCATAGCCGAACGCCTCTCGCGATGCACGCATTTGTTGCTTGTTTTCGATTGTTTGACAAATCCGTGGTTGCAAATGCAGAAGTTGGGTCCGGAGCAGACGCCGTTTTCGCAGCCCCTGGACAATGTGCAACACATCGGTTTTTCTTGAAGGTGTCCTGGATGTAACCGGTCTTGCAAGTGCATTCGTTAGGGCCGGTGCATTCACCATTTAGGCATGGGTCGTCGCAGTGAGCAGAGCAAATAGTTCCGGTTTTATCCAAAGTCCAGCCTGGTTTGCAAGCGCAACGGTTGGGACCAACGCAGTCGCCATTTTACACCCGCCTGCGCATTGCGCTTGACAAACGCCCTTTATTTGAGTATATCCAGAACGGCAGGAACATTTATTGGGGCCGATGCAGTCTCCGCCATCACAGCCTCCGTCGCAGTGATATTCACAGATGCCACGTGCGCTCTTCTCAAAACTGAAAATTAAATAACATGGTGAATCAAAATGGCGGCCTTGATTACTTCCTTTATAACACTTAGATAACATACCCTGGTTTACACTCGCATACTTCCGGTGCCTTGCATTCGCCACCAATTCCGCATCCGCCGTGGCAAACTGGGAGGCACATTTGTCCAGAGGGATCCAGAGTGTAGCCATTATTGCAGGAACACACCTTGTTCAGGTTACACACGCCATTCAGGCAACCAATGGGGCATGTAGGTACACAGCGGCCTTGATTATCCTTGATGTATCCTTTCTTGCACTCACACACGCCAGGAGCGGTGCAGTTACCATTATCACAAAGGTCCCCACAGTCAGGGATGCAATGAAAAGCGCTGTGGTCTTGCAATCTGTAGCCGGAGCAACAAATTCGGATGGTGCTGTACCCGGCACGAGTCTGGTTGATGACGTTCACAATCAAAATTAACAAAACTTGAAATATAAAAATAAAACTTACACCGTTGCCTTGAGGAATCACACCGGTTCTTTCGTCTTCATGGATGAGATCTAAAGTTCTAGATTAAATAATAATATTAAAATTCACGGAATTTATTAATGTTGTCAACTTACGGCACTTCTAATGTACAAACGCCTTTGTTTTTCACATTGGTCGCGTTCTTGGAATTGTTTATTACCGCGGCGTTGGCGAAGGTTACGCAAACGGCAATCACAAGCACTTTTGCCAGACCATCTCACTGCTTGTAGTCTATACGAATAACTTAAAACCACTTGCCTCGGCGAAATCCAACGCTTTACTAAGCACTAAGCGAGGAATCGCGTATCTTAAACCAAACGCCTCCGCGCTACGAATATCTCATCCGTTGGATTGCGCTGACCTCAAACGTTTAGCGCGGAATAAATAATAATAACATACTAAATGATTTTTGATGATCGGAACGACAAAAGTGAACAAATTGGAAACTTCTAGATTGCCCGTTAACTGCTTTAATACTTTCTATTTAGTTAACAGAACTTTCGTCAATAAGTCATTGACTGCTTGAGCGTTCTGGTTTTATTGCTAAAATTGAACGTACGAATAATAATTGCATGTGTTTTCACTTTTAAGTAGAAAACATATTTATAATAAATATTTGTTTACATCTTTACGATTTTTAAACATTCTATGCTTGATGTTAATTTAGGGACATTTTACTACACCATATTTGAATTATTTTCGGCATTGGCGGGCTTTTACTTTGTTATGATATTTTAAGGTTACTCAATTCATCAACAGTCTCGGTTGTTACTCTCGAAAATTGTGCAAATACTTAAGTTTACGTGAATAACAGTTAATAGACGTCATGGCAAATGTTCAACCATTAAAAGCCATGAATCTGGGTAATAATTTCATTATTTAACAATAATCTCTACTTTTACTAATTCTACTTTCTTGTAGACCCGAACCAGATCCAGGGGTTCATACGCTTCTACAAAAACATGTCCGAGGTAGGTCTTAAAATATTTTAATATATTATTGGTTTATAATGCATCATGCGTCACGTTTTGATTCATTTTCGGAATTGTTATTGATATAATAGTTTTGTTTTGTACAGAAACATTAGGTGACTAGTCACTTATGGAAAGTTCTTGATTCATATATTTTTCTAACAGTTTTAATTTGCTACAAATCTACATAACGCTTATAAGTTATTTTATCATTCGTTGAGGCATCTTATTTGGCCCCTACAAGATCTTTAGCTTTTTGCTTTACTGTTTTAAAGCTACTGGTGATTTTACCACCAACTTTTTGCCAAAAACCTAACGGTTTTACTACTTCAGTGACGGCCTCCTCTTCTTCAATGCCTGCTGAACTTGTATCTTTGTCTGCAGGGTCTGGATGATTTTGAGTTTCTTGTGGAGGTGACACTTCTTCATATTGTTCTTGGTTTCCCTCCGGGTATTTTACTGGAGATGTATTACTATTATACATCCTTATTAATTGTTGATAGGGTGGTACATATGGTTCACGCCCAAGGTCTAGATCTATATGGTGTTGCGCATCATCAAAATCATGGCTCTGATGGTTGTTTGGTCTGTAATGATTGACTGGGATGGTTGCGCTAGGCATAGTTGGCAACACTTGTTGATCGTCTTCTGGTCTTTGTAAATCCTGTTCTTGTTCCGTTGGTAGTCTTCTAGACTGCGAAATTTGATTTGGATTGAACTGCTGTCCGTGTGGTGCACCTCTGTATTGATCTTGAGCGATGTACGAACGATGTACATCACTCAAACTCATTGCGGGTGGTGCACCATCATTTTCGGGATTTTGGAACATGTTGAAATCTTCTTCTTGATGTTGTTGGGTGAAATCGTCATTGAATTGCGTCTCGGGTAGATGGAAATCGTTAACTTGCGGACCTTGTGGTTTATGTTGCAAGTAGTCTCCGTGATCGATGAATTCGTTATTGAACCCATCCTGAGTTCCATGGGTCTCAGCCAATTGGTCAGCAAGTCTGTCGATCTCTTGTTCTTGGTTGAAGACAGTCATTTTTCAGTGGTTGAGGTGGGTCGCAGGTAGTTTCCTGAACTATATCTATTTGGGTAGTATCTATTTCGATATACGCTGTACGTGGCGTAAGTTGTTGTTGAAGGCTTTGCTGTTGTGGTAGTCTTATGTTGTAAAGGTTGGACACCAAGAATTATATCATCGGCATAATCTACGGATTCCTGATTATTTGTAGTCTGCGAATAAGTGGCGCCAGGATTCAAATCCATGGTTTGTTGGCCGATATCTTCGGTTTTGACCGAGATCTTCCGTTTGCTGACCTACATCTCTGCCAACTTGGATTTGCTCAAAATCATCATCAGTCATAGGTTTTGGAAGTTTTCGTTTTGTTCTATCTGTTCTAGATCTTCAATTTGTTGTCCTAAATTTTCTGTTTGCTGGCCTACTAATACCGGTTTTCTTTGACTACCGCTTTGTAAGTTTCCGCGATTTCTGTTACTTCCCAATTCAAACTGTCCAAAAGTGTCATCAGTCATTGGTTTTGGTAATCTTCATTGTCTTCTATCTGTCCTAGATCTTCAATTTGTTGCCCTAAATTCTCTGTTTGCTGCCCAACTATTACGGGTTTCCTTTGACTACCGCTTTGTAAGTTTCCACGGTTTCCGTTACTGCCTCAAATTCAAACGTTTCATCAGGCATTGGTTTTGAAAATCGTCTTCGTTTTGATATAATTGCCCTAGGTCCTCAACTTGCTGACCCAAATCTTCAGTATGCTGACCTACTAATTTTGGTTTTGTTGACTGCCCATCTGCAAATTGCCATAATTCCTATTGTTACTATCCAACTCAAACTGACCAAAATCATCTTCAGTTTGTTGAGTGAGTCCGCCAAGGTCTTCATATTTTTGCCCAAGATCTTCTATCTGTTGTCCTATTGGCTTGGTTTTGTTCCTAACCTCTGGTTTAAGATTGGCTTGCCCAATATCTCCACGTACAGGCTTTGTTTGTGAATCCACTTCAAGACCAGGTTCATAAGTTTTCTGTACCAAATCGTCGTCATTTTCAAGTTGCTGCCGAGGTCGTCGATAGTTTGTTGACCCAAATCTTCTGTGACTTGACCTTGTCCATCATGAGCGACCACCGGCCGCCTCGGACCTTCAAATAATAAATTATTTTTATCAATTACTGATAATATTAATTACATTACGCAATAGTTGTACTAAAATAGCAACCTTATCACACGCGCGCCGCCATTACGGATTAATTTCGCTTTCGTTTGTATGCAACGAAGTCAATCCAATTCGAAAAATATGTTTATCAAAGATATATTTGTTTATTTAAGCTCACACATACATAATTGTTACAATTATTATGTTTATATAAATATATTCCCTATTGCTTCTAGAAGCAATCATGAAGCTGCTATTTTATCAACCAATGTTTTGCGCAATTTCAATATTGTACTAAGTCTAATCATATTCGAATTCAATTCTATCCAAAATTATTTGCAATCCTCTCCAATGGTGCTGCCCACCGATTGATGCTGACCGAATTGGTCATATTTTTGCATCCTTCCGCTCTTAACGCCGCTATGATAGCCTGAACTATGACTGCCATACGAACCTTGTGACATGTAGCCACTGTTGTATCCACCGCTGGAAGCGCTGTATTGAGAAGTGCGCAGTTGTTCCTGAAGGTTTCTAACTAGATCATCTTGCAATTGTTGACGCAATCGATTCAAATCTTCTTGACGATAATTGGCATTCGGGCTGTAAACCCCGGTTGCAGAAATGGTATAGGATTGACCTCCACGGATGCCTTGTTTACCATAGTGTTGATTCAGGGTTTCCTCGAGACGTCTGGTGAGATTACTTCTTAGTTCATTGTTGAGAAGCTGCTCAACTTGGCTCTGGCTCTGGGTGTTGTAAGAAGAATGGCTTTTCTGCTCGTACACTGCTGATTGCAGCTGGCGGCTGAGGTCTTGTTGCAATTGAGAGCGGATTTGCTCCAATTGGGAGTTGAGTGGTTGTTGAGTGTTTCCATCCGGGGTCGAACCGTACGATGATTGAGAGCTCCATGAGGACTGTGAACTCCATGATCTACTGGGTTCATAGCGGACATAAGTCGGGTTTTGGGCGGTGTCGGAAGTCAAAGACTGCGTGTATTGTGGACCTTGGTTCGTGTAGTCTCTCTGGGAGTTGGTGTACTGCGTGCGAGATTGTTGGTGGTGAGACTCGTAAGAGCGGAATGAGGTCTCCAGATAGTTGATCAAATTATTCTCGATCTGCTTCTTGAGATCCTCTAAATCCGCTGTTTTATAATTGGCATTTGTGCGCTGGTTTTGAGAAAAGGAGTATTCACCTCGTACGTCTTGACGCCCATAGGTACGATCCAATTCGTCTTCAATCTTTCTAGTGATGTTGTAGCGTAACTGGCGTTTGAGGTCATCTAAAGCAACATTATAATCTGGTCGGCTATTGGTCAAGGTATACGAGGATCCGGAATATCTTGCTTGATAGGTGCTCAAAGCTTCGCGCACTTGTTGGTTAAGGTCGTTCTGAACGCCTTGCAGGACATCGGTAACCCTCCTGGTTGGATTCACGGTGATTTGAGACTGCGATAATGTGGGAAGTCACGATCATAGCTGGAACCATAGTATCTTGATCCTGATTGAGATGCTTGTCCATAACTTGATCCGTAGGAAGTTTGGGAACTGGACGCGGGTTGTTGGCCATAGCTGAATCTTTCAGGCCGTTGAAAATCGTTGTTTCCAGGAACGGGGCGATAGTTTGAACTGCTAGGGACCTGGCGGTGACCGTGCGTGTTTAAATCATCGACTTCGGCAGAATCTCTATGTTGATATCCTCTGTTGCTGGCTCCATATGAGTTCCAATTACTACTGGAACTACTGCTGCTGCTTTGGGCATATGATGATGAGCTGGTACCTTCGTGGAGTTTCCTTAGCAATTCTCTTTCCATCTGCTGACGTAAATTGGTCAACTCATTGGTGTCGTAGTTGGCTGTAGGATTGTAACCACCTGCGGATGTGGTGCTGTAGGATGATTGACCCCTGGTTGTTTGTGCCCCATACTGGTTGTGAAGACTTTGTTGTAACTGCCTAGTGATGTTATTACGCAGTTGATTCTCCAAATATTGCACATCTTCGGATCGCATTTGAGTGCTACCATATGCCGACTGAGTCCTCATTGCCCTAATAGCATCACGCAGCTGCTGTTCCATGTCATATTGTAGGTTTTGGGTGATTTGGCCCAAGTTTGATCTGGTCGTGTATGTACTCTGGGAATATTGCCGATTTGTTCCGGGAAGGATATTGTGCGCTTTGAATGCACTCTCGGCCTCGGAAGTTAAATCACGATCGTTGTAAGTGGTCAGGAATGGCCGACATTATCAACCATTGGGCTTATGTATTCAGAGTGCTGGTTGTGTTGTTGCACCTGCGGTACCGACTCTCCTGTTAAATCGCCATGTTTGCCGTAGTATCCTTCATCGTCATTCTTTGTCTCCAACTGGTTATTTTTGTACGTGGATGAGGACTTCTTAAATTGGTATTCTTGCTTAAAGTAGCCTTCAGGTGCTGCACACGCTGCTAATATAACAGCCCCAAGGACTATTAACGTTTTCATTGTTGGCACTTTCTCTGTAAATATAAAGGATCAAATATTGCCTGAGTTTTAATCAATGAGAACTTTGTACTTACAAAATTCGTTAATTCTCTACGTCAACTCCAACTTCAGCTGTACGATAATATATGCTGCGAATATGCAGATGTAGAGTATTTAAATGCGGACTCTGATAATGATCCCCACCCATTGACACAGATGTGTTTGCGTTTGTTAAGCGAGAAGTTTATTTGCAATCAATTCGATTTATTCTAGGAGTGTTTTAACTTTAAACATCGAAATCGGTATTCCCTGGTGGTTGACCATGATTTATATGATTAGTATTTTCTGAATAAATTCATTGAGTTTGGTGAAACAGGGAAAGTTTGTTTCGAATTCACCGAATTTCATTTACGAGTATCTGTGGCACTTGGTGGATTCGCGGGTCATCTTAATGGATCATCGACTTATCTAAGTGTAGCGAGGTCAATATTTATTCATAAAAACATTATAGACTTCCAAGAAATTTATAGCACTGTCGTAAATAACATTCTTTCTTAGAATTATTTATTTAATCAATAAATTAATGACGTTTACAAATTATTGGTAATTAATGCGTCTGGCAGTTAAAGTTGGAAATATTTCTTTTATACCAGAAAAGCGCTTCGACCGTGCGAATTTTTCATCACGCCGAGTTTTATTCTGTACATGAGGACGACGCTACTCTTGCCGCTGAAATTGTTTTCAAAAATAATGTTACGAAATACATGGGCACGGAAAAACTGCCGTATTTATGTTTGAGTGAAAACAATTTTGAGAATTTCATCCGTGAATTACTCCTCGTCCGGCAATATAGAGTGGAAGTCTATGAAAAGTATCACCTCCGCGCGTCAACGACTGGAAAGTCGAATACAAAGCATCACCTGGTAATCTACAACAGTTTGAGAGTATTTTGTTTGAAAACAATCGCGATATGGTGATTAGTACTTCTGTCATGGGAGTACATTTAAGGGGTCATTCCATTGGGCTAGCTTGTGTGAATACAACCGAATGTGATATCACAGTCACCGAATTCGATGATAATGAATTTTTCTCGGAGCTTGAAGCTGTTGTGGCGTACGTGAATCCCAAGGAATGCGTCATTCCATCGGGCAGTTCGAAAGAACTGGAAACTCTAAAGGAGATGCTGGAGCGTAATGACGTTCTGGTGGGAACAAGCAAAAAGAAGATTATGACGAGTCTAAATTAGATCAGGACTTGAATCGTTTGCTGTATTTCGCCGAAAATCAAACGCGCAATGTACACGCTTTCAGCGAACGCAAATTGACTCAGGCTATGTGTTCTGCTCGAGCTGTAATTAATTCTTTGAACTTGATGTCCGATACGCAGAACTTTAACCAGTACAGATTGAAATCAATGAATCAAAAACGTTTGGTGCGCATTGATAATGCCGCCATTTACGCGCTTAATTTATTAGCAAAACCTGGAACTGTTAATAATCAGTTTGATACTGTTTATGGCGTACTGAATAATTGTTCGACCCCACAAGGAAAGCGTTTGTTGCAAATGTGGATTAAACAGCCTATCCGTGATCTGAATATTTTAAACGATCGTCTAGAGGTTGTTCAAGCTTTGGTGCAGGACGCAGATGCGCGATCGCAGTTATCGAAGTACAGATTGAAACTTCCTGATTTATTAATGTTGGCGAAACGTCTGGCCACGAAGAAAGCTACGCTCCAGGATTGTTTCAAAGTGTATCAAGCGTTGGATTTGATCCCTGCTTTGGTAGAAACCTTGCAAAACATCAATAATGCTGCGGTCGTTGCTTTGATTGTTGATCCGATATGTGAGCGTTTAGAAGAGTTACAAAAGTACCAACGCATGATTGAAGAAACCATGGAGTTGAGTTCGGTCGACCGAGATGAATATTTCGTCAAACCATCTTATGATCCGGTTCTGCATGATTTATTCAATCGCAAACAAATAATTGAAGATAAAATGCAATCGTTACTAAAACGTGCTGCAAATGATTTGGGTTACGAAGCAGGAAAAACCATAAAGTTGGATTGCACAAATCAACATGGTTACTTCTTCAGAGTGACTCTCAAAGAAGAACAAGCGATGAGAAAGAATAAATCTTATACGATTTTTGACGTGGTCAAGGGAGGTGTACGATTTAATAATGAAAAACTAGCTTCATACAATGATGACTATAAAGATATCAAGAAAAATTACGAGGAACAACAAGAAACTGTCGTTGATGAGATTATTCAAGTGGCTTCGGGGTATGCGGATGTGATTAAGAGTATGAATCAATCGATTGCCATTGCGGATGTATTGGTTAGTTTTGCTGTGTGTGCTGTGAATGCACCTATTCCATACGTGAGACCCAATTTGATGCCGATGGGAAGTGGAATTTTGCGGTTGAAGAAAGCAAGACATCCATGCCTAGAACGACAGGATGATAACTGCATTCCGAATGATGTAGACTTTATGAAGGACGAGTGCACTTTTAAGATTATTACCGGGCCCAATATGGGTGGTAAAAGTACTTATATAAGGACTGTGGGTGTGTGTACTTTGTTAGCTCATATTGGATGTTTTGTACCATGCGAAGAAGCTGATATCTCAATAGTGGATAGTATTGTTACAAGGGTCGGGGCTGGTGATTGTGAGTCCAAAGGATTGTCCACTTTCATGATGGAGATGATTGATACCAGCAGTATTATTAGAGTAAGCAAAGGATTTTTCCAACAAATTTCAGTTGGGTAATAAATTCGGATTTATTTATAGTGCGCAACATCGAATTCCTTGGTGATTATTGATGAACTGGGTCGTGGGACATCTACATATGATGGTTGTGGTATTGCATGGGCGGTTGCTCAGTATGTTAGAAATTTTTAGAGATTGATGCAGATTTGTTTATAAGTTTATTTTTAGGCATTTGTCTAGAGAAACTAAAGCTTTTACGCTTTTGCCACGCATTATCATGAAATTACGCAACTTGAGAATGATATTCCGACTGTAGCCAATTATCACGTCAGTATGATATTGACTGATAATGCAATCACACCCTTGTATTCTATTAAGGAAGGAATTTGTGATAAGAGCTACGGTATTCAATGCGCAAAAGTTGCCGATTTTCCCGAGAATGTTATTAAGGTATTAAAATTACAAAATTAGTTCGAAACGTTTTCAATAACATATACATGTTTATAGTGGTCTACAGAATATTTGAAAGAATTAGAATGTGCTGATGGGTTGAAGAATATTCAGAATTTTTGAGCCACGTATACGACAGAAAAACTATTGCAGTAAGTGAACAAAAATAAATATAAAATAATAAATAAAACGTGGTTTTGTGTAATAAAGGAGAGCTTTTCTAAAGATGATCTTGCTTTGGAG